AAACTATCGACAAGGACAGCCTGTACTGACCGAGAGAGAGAGAGAGAGAGAGAGAGAGAGAGAGAGAGAGAGAGAGTTACATTTAGCAAAATTTGAGATTTTTGAAAAAGTTTATATCAAATAGCTGCTTTGTGTTACACTTTATGTTAAAAATAAAAACTGATTCGGAAAGTGGGACAAATTCTGTAGTGCCCTATTTAAAAAAAATATGTTTATTTTAACCAAAAACATTTGAAAAAGAAAATATTGTTTAAACAATTTAATAATTTACAACCAAATAGTGCACTAGATCTTTTTAAGACCTTCCATATAAAAAAAGAATCATCCCATATATCTGCCATAGTTTTTGCGTTATTTAGTATAAACTTTTACATTGGAATTTAGCTATGCCCAGAATCGCGAGGAACGGCCTTAACTCTTAAATCGAATTCATCTGGCTATAATATTTTTTGGCTCTTCTTTGGTAAACAGTTTTTTCCGCCATAGCTATACATACAGCAACGAGGGCTTGCCTTGGACAATTTTAAGTAATAAACAGTCTACCAAAAGACAAACTAAAACACTTCTTGAATATCTTACGGTAAAAGCAGTACCTCACAGATGATACGTGATTTTTTATAAGAAATAGTTTATGCATTTTCTTAACGTCCAATTTTTCACTAAGGTAATAAAATTTGATGCTACCATGCTGTAAATTTTTTACTGGAAATAAACGAATATTGAACTTTAGCCAACAAACACCAATAACTTAGCCAAGCGCCGCATAAGGTCTACAGGGATTGCATGAATACTAAAAAAAGTGGTTTTACAGATACCATACCGATCTAGAGGACGGAGTATTTATATGATTTACTTTTTGGGTTTGAATTATTTATATCTACTCTAGGTTGTTTCCTTGCAATTTTGGAAGACTCAGTTGATACCTACATAAAATATATGCATTTTGTTCATTTTTTTTCTCTACGGTATAAAATTTATCAAAAATCTCTTGCAGATCTACTTCGGTAATTTCAAGAAAACAGGGTGACCTACAACTAAAAGTAAAAAGCTTACCTAAGTGACATTTTGATCGACAAATCAAAATTATTTATTTTACCGACATGGTTTACCCATTGTCCGTTAATTTACTTAGGTGCCTCTATAATTCAGATATTTCACTCGTGTACTTCTAATTACTTCATGTTTGTAAACTGGATTCAGCCCCTTTTTACGTTTTTTAGGAATAAATTAGACAGGACCATCTTCTTCGGACAACAACATTGAAAAACTAAATATTTAAGCATAGACATGTGTTGCCATGAACAAGCGCATTGACAGTAAAATCATAAATATAGTGCAAACATTATATTGGAACCAAAGTGCCATAGTTCAAATTGATGGGCAACACTCATAAGAAATGAGGATCTGTAGAGGAGTTAGACAGGGATGTGTGTTATCACCACTGTTGTTTAACTTATATTCTGAAGAAATTTTCCAAAACACGCTCAATAATATCGAAGCGGGAGTCACTGTTAACGGAAAATTAATTAATAATTTAAGATATGCAGACGACACTGTGATCATAGCAACGAGTATAGAGGATCTACAACATCTTATCGAAAGCTTGAGTATAAATAGTGCTGAGATGGGAATTACTATAAACGCTAAAAAAACGAAGTACATGCTGATTACAAAAAGGCCACAAAATATACATCACCTATTGACAATAAATGGTAACGTGATAGAACAAGTAGTAGAAAAATATCAGTATTTGGGAACTTTGATCAATGAAACCAATGATCATACTGTAGAAATAAACAGACGAATAGAGATTGCCAGATCAGCATTTATACGAATGAAGCCACTCCTAACGTGCAAAAATCTCAATTTGGAGATCAGACTACGTACCATTCGCTGTTATATATTTTCAATATTATTATATGGAGCTGAGACTTGGACATTAAAAAAATGTAATTTAAAAAGAATCGAGGCTTTCGAACTCTGGTTATACCACAGATTATTGAAAATATCATGGACTGATAGAATTACAAATAAAGAAGTACTGGAGAGGGTTGGTAAAGAAACAGAACTAATCACCACTATACAAACCAGAAAACTGGAATACCTAGGCCACGTGATGAGGGGACCAAAATATGAAATTTTGAGACTGATAATACAGGGAAAGATTCAAGGAAGAAGATCTGTTGGCCGAAAGCAGAACTCATGGTTAAAGAATCTACGTGATTGGTACCAATGCAGATCGATTGATTTGTTTAGAGCAGCAAGTTCTAAAAGAAAAATAGCCATTATGATTGCCAACCTCCGTAGGGAGACGGCACTCTAAGAAGAAGAATGTGTTGCCAAGTAGAAAAGAATGAAAATATCCATATTATGACGGTAAAAAGGCACTACATTGTCGCTACGTGTCATTGCTGAAAAGCCAATTGGGGATCCGCCGAAGGCATCTCCGGAGGCCCAATCGTCGAAGGCGGAAATTTTTGAGAGTGTTACGCCCAAGTTTTACCCAATATACAAACCTTATATATATATATATATATATATATATATATATATATATATATATATATATATATACAATGCTAAAGTCTAGGGATATTTTTATAAATAGACGTATTTTCTTTATCTGTAATAAACTTAAAAAAAGTAATACAAAATTTGTAGTTTAAATTGTTGTTTATTATGTCAAAAACCATAAATTGCAAAAAACAGAAAATTGGAGCAAAAAAAATATATTGCAAATTACGCGCATATTTCACATACTACCATAAAATGTCAAAAATACGAAATATAAACTTAAAATAAAGTATGGCCACCACGTTGGTTTATCATAGCTCTACATCTACTGTTCATGCTCCGAATCACATTGTTATTGCCTGCTTGAAGTAGTTGTGTCCATTGTTCTCTCAGAAGCTCCTTTAATTGAAACTCATTGTAGATATTGTCCATATGTGGAGTAATTCTTCGTTGGCGCATGTCCCATACATGGTCAATAAGATTCAAGTCCGGTGATTGTGCTGGCCACGGCAATACATCAATACCCTCGTTATCCAACCAGTTTGTTACAATATGCGAAACATATCGAGCGTTATCATGCATAAAGTAAAAATTTTCTCCAACAGCAGCAGCAAAGGGGCGCACAACAGGTTCAAGAACAGTGTCCAAATATTGCTGACTTGTGAGAAAGCCACGTGGGAAATTGAGGTCAGTTCTTCCTTCAATCATGATTCCGCCCCATACCATTAATGTACCACCTCTGTACGCGTACACTTCTTAAAGATGTTGTAATCGTTCTCCATTTTTGAGTCGTCTCCAAACTCTTGTTCGACGACAATCTAGATAAAATCCATATCTAGACTCGTCACTAAACAAAACTGTGGCCCAGTCATGGTCAGTGCAATTCAGAAACTCTTGACACCAGGTTAATCTTGCAGCGCGATTGCCTCTAGATAGAGGTGGACATCTCAGTGGTCGCCGACTACAAAGATTGGCTTAATGGGGACGATTTCTTACAGTACTGCTGCTAATTATTACAATATGTGCAAGCTGTAATTCATTAACCAGCTCGGGTGTTGTGATTGTTGGCTGCCTTCTAGAATTTAAAATTAAATATCGGTCTTAAGCGACGGTTGTAGAGCGACCACGTCCTGGATGTTGCTCGGCTGGACTCCCAGTGTCTCTAAACCGATGCCACAAACGGCTTACGACGCTTCGGGAGTCACCCAGCTAGTCAGCAACTTGAGTTTGTCGCATACCAGCTTGAAGGAGGCCCACGGCTCTATACATCTCCTCCAACGTTAAATGTTGTCGTTGCATGGTAAAAGACAATATCTTTAACTTACGTATTAACCAAAAATGGTATAAAGTGACTAAAATTAAAAATAAACAAAACATAAAAATGTCGATTTTTTTGTCCCTTATAAAACACATTCTAAAACACGTATAATTATCAGTTTTAAAATTTTTTTTGATAAGAAGTGAGTGTTCTGTATCAACAATTATTGTGCAACAAATTTATATGGTCATGAAATTTCTGTCATTGGTATTGTCAAATTATTAAAATATCCTTAGACTTTTGCGTTGTGATCGTTTTATTTTCTGACCAAAAAGCCTGATAATATACATTTATTTTATATATATATATATATATATATATATATATATATATATATATATATATAAATATATATATATATATATATATATATATATATATATAAATATATATATATATATATATATATATATATATATATATATATATATATATATATATATATATATAAGGATCGTGAACTCCTATGTGGAGCATAGATCTTCAGTGAAAACGCGCCATCGGGTTCTATTTTGCGCTAGGGCCTTCACCTCATTCCAAGACTTTCCTTGGCCTCTTATCTCGTCCATGGTGGATCTTCTCCACGTTTGTACTGGTGTACTGGGCGACCTCTTTTTCTTTTCTTTGAGGATTCCACTCTAGGGCAGTCTTTGCGATACTGGAACTATTTTTTCGGAGTATGTGACCGATCCAACCCCACTTTCTGGACTTAATTTCATTTTGTACACTCTTTTGTTTGGTCAGTCGTAGCAGATCTTCGTTTCTGATGGTGATGGTGATTTACCATTCCGTATATGAATCTCTCACCAAAGTAACATTCCGTATACGTGTTTGGCACCTCGCCGCCTATTGGTTAAAACATGGACGCGTGGCGCAAAGGACCAACAGAATAGTCCTAGGTGCCAAATGCATATATGGAATGTTTGGATGTGTCCAGGACTCGTGGGGTCTCTCAAATAAATATATATTTTAAACTTGCGTTAAAAGTGTTACATAGGTTGAACATTTGTGATTTCTCTTTAAACTATGCGTCTATATGAGGATATTGTTAAGCTAAAAAATTAGAAGTGCCATATTTATGGTCATGTAGAATTCCTCAAATAAGCGATTCAAATATGGATATGGAATAATGTTTACAACGTGTGATTTTAATTTAAAAGATTATTACCTTCATAGCCGTATCCATTTGTGCAGCACTTTGTCCGACTTCATAAAATAATTCTGATGTCCATGGTACTTTTGCTATTACTGTTCCTTTTATAAATTTTAGTGCTCTTACTATGTGACTTCCACTTTCAAAGTTGTGTAATACGAAGTATTGTTTGTCCTTGGTTTTAATGGGTAAAGAACATTTAATGCCATTTTTACCTATAAAACAGTAAATATCTAATAATAGCGTTTAAAAAACATAAAGCTATAAAGTAAATTTATAAATATAAAGTTATGCTTCCGTTCCCATTTAATTTTAATTCAGGTTGCAGGGAATATAAAATCAACCTAGAGTAGGTTTGAACATTTTCATGAAGGTTATATAAAAAAATATTTAATAATATCTGATACAAAAGTTCAGTTTTTATTAAAAAACGAAGTGGAATATAAGCATGTTTTTAATACTGCACCAAATCCTGATCAAAATATTACAGCGAATTAAACAAATGTGATTAAGTGGTATCTGATCTGAAATAGGTCTAGGAAATAAGCAAAACAGTACTTTGTTGTGGCACTGAACCTGCCAGTCAAACGACAGTTGTATCGTGATCTCCAAAATTAGAAAGCTTCTTTAAAAAGCCTTATCCCTTACTTCCACTCAAAATCATCGCACAAATCAAAACAAAACGTAAAATGATCAGAGAGTATTAAAATATTACGAGACTCCCTCATCAAAGCAGAGTATAACATGCTCTTGGCATCGATAAGGTTGGAAGTAAACAGGGTAAAACAAATATAGTAGATGCAACTTACGGCCAACCTGGACTACCGAGAGGGTGCTAAATTCTAGAACCAATTCAAAGTCCTAACGAAGCAAAGAAGTTAACCACGTTGACATTTCACCATTCTTCACCGTCAGGCAGTTTAGTCTAGGCTGGATCTGTTATGGATTGGACATTTTCCATAGCATGCTATTTTTTGCTGGAATCCCTTCAGGATGTGCCCAGTATCGATAATCACGATATGCGCCAGTCGCAAACCCTGTGCTAAATTTTTTATTTAACAAAATCTGTAAACAATTAAAAATTTCTCATTTTTTACTCCTATTTTCGTTTATAATTCAGAAAATATTGATCCTAGAAAAAAAATTATAGGACGTTAAAAGTTTGGTTATTCAATTTTACACAATATGTCGTTAGCTTAAAATTAAAAATTTAATGTGTATTGTTGAAAAAATAGCAATAATTGGAAAAAAGTACAAAAAATGAAGTTAATCCTTTAAATGAAATTAATTAGAGCAATTTATGGTCCACATAATCGGCCTAATATAATGTTTCGCTGATGACCAAATACTGATTGCTCAGGATCATGACGACTTGAGTTACATGACTCGGAAGCTAATAGAAGAATATAACAAATGGGGTCTCGAAGTCAACATTATGAAAACTGAAGCCATGTATTGGAAGGACAAAACAGTACATTATATTAGACGATGGGGTAGAAATTAGAAACTGTGATGAATACAAGTACCTGGGTATGAAGATAACTCAAGATGGAACACTCGATGCTGCTATAAAAGACAAAAACATACAGGGTAGAAAAGCCATATCCATGATGAACGGCATTCTGTGGGACCAAACAATATCTAAAGCGAACAAACAACTCATATACAACACCACACTTAAAAGTGTAATCACATATGGCAGTGAAGTTTGGCCAATGATACAAAGAACAGGGAAACTGTTACTAGCAACAGAAATGGACTTCTGGGGAAGAGCAGCAGGCAAATCAAGTAGAGATCGGATACCAAATAAGAGAATACGAGAAATGATGGAAGTAAAGTGTTACGATTTTAAATGTTATGGCGTATAGAACTGTAAATATTTTATGACTAATTCTTTTTTATTGATTCTCGTAATTTCTAGGTCAAAAATCTACCTGACACCTTTTGTGTCCCCTTCGGTAAAAAAAAACAACAATCGAACTTTCTGGGGACGAGCCGATGAAAAACATACCAGTTTTGAGACCAGTCGCTGCTCTGTCTAGTCGAGAATGCCATCGAATCTTCGACGATGTTCCATTTTAACACGTGATTTCATATAAATAACGGAAGATTTTCATTGAGCGGCAGTCAAAAAGAAGATCCGATCTCTCGTTAAATTGTAACGAACGCAAATAAATTATTTGTAATTATTAAGTGTAAAATAAATTAGTATAAAATAAAGACTTTTGATAAATTATCGTGAGTTTTAATAAATTAGAATAAAGACAATAAATTAGAATAAAGACAATAAATTAGGACTAATAAAATCATTATAAAAGCATACAATAGTTGATCACATAAAAACAAAACAGTTAATATGGTACGGCCATGTACAGATAATGCCATATAACAGGATTCCGAAGCAGATTTTGACGTGGACACCACAAGGGAGAAGGAAAAGAGGATGGCCGAGAAGAAGCTGGAGAGAGGGAATTGAAAAAGAACTAGGGGAAAGAGAAATCCCTCCAGGCCTATGGTTAAATAGAGAAGAATGGCGGTTAGGAGTCGGAAGGCGTCGGAGAACGCTGTAAACCGATAGTGGTAGTATAATCGGCCTACCGAACGTACAATTCGCTTTATGAGTAGTAAGTTTAAAACTCAGTTTTCATTATTGGATAACACGCAACCAAATAGATCACATTCAACACGTACTGAAGAAAATATAGCGGCGGTAACAAATAGTGTATCAAAAATAATGAAGAATCGATTCGTCGCCGTTCTCAAAAGCTTGGTTTAAAAGCATACAAAATTAATTTAGTGCAAGAGCTGAAGCTGACCGACCTTCCGAGTCGTCACTGTTTTAGTCGATGGGATCTTTTAGTCGATTTAATGATGAACAACCCAAAGAGGTTCAAGAGTTGCCGTTACACCCTGAAAAAACAACTGTTTGGTGTTATGTATTGGCTGGGAAAATCGTTGGTCCATATTTCTTTAAAACAGAGGCCGGCCAGAGTATTTGGCACCTGAAATTGAAACTCGTAGTCTCAGCAACATCTGGTTCCAACAAAATGGCGCCACTTGCCATACAGCCCGTGAAAGCATGGCTTTACTGCGAGGACGATTCGGTGAACAAGTTATTTCACGCCTTGGGTCAGTGAATTGTCCGCCTAGATTCTGTGACATCTCACCTCTAGAATCTTTCTTTTAGGGCTACCTAAAGTCCAAAGTCTCCATAAATAAACCAGATATGATTGAGGCATTGGAGGCCAATGTTACTTGAGTCATTGGTGAAATACCAATCGAAATGCTGGAACGAGTCATCGAGAATTGGAACTTCAGAATTGAATCGTAGTCATGGCCCAACATTTAAAAGAAATTATCTTTAAGAATTAATTGTAAAAAATGGGTCTTTTGTATAATAATAAATATTTTCAAATAAAATTTATTTTTTTCATTGTTTTTTTCTTGTTGAAAAAAGTACCTCTGAATGAATCACCCTTTACATGCCTAATAGGCCTGCAAAATACGATTTAAAAATATTGTCCTTGTGCAATTCTAGAACTTTCTATTTATATAATGCGTTTGTGTACACAGGCAGGGATGATACAACTGACAGAACATTATCAATTCAAACTCAGACTGTTCTAAAACTTATAACACCAATTAAAAGTACAAATGATTAGTAACATGGAGCAAACATATAATCCAGAAGAATCACTCCAGAATATATGTAAAACCATCTTCCATGAAAGGAAAAATAAAATTAAAGAGCAACAAAAGAATGTACAAAAATGATCAGGGTCAAATAAGAACCAAAATATGAAAGGCCAAAGAAAATTGGTTAAAAAATCCAGCACAGCTATCAAACTGTAAGATCAACAGGAGAACATCATCACAGATAACAATCAAGAAATGTGTAAAGGGACCAGATAATACAGGAACTCTTTGATGATAATGGGTCCGAACAACGTTCGTTCTGCATATGTAATGACTACTTATTAATTACATCATATGAAGTGGAAAAAGCAATATCACAACGAAAAGATGGCAAAACTCCTGGACATAACAATGCATATGCTGAACGCATCTCTCTCTTCAATCCTGACCCCCAGGGGGAGTGTAGTGGTCGACGTGATGTCGTATATTGTCCGTCTCCAGAGATCTCTGTCTCTGGTCATTTCTTTTAATTCATGCATAGGTCTTTGGCATATTCCTGTAATTCGATATATCCACCTTGTTGGGGATCTTCCTCGTGATCTTCGGCCTTCTACCTTTTCTTGTATTATGAGTCTTTCCATGTTTTCTGTGTTTGCTCTCATAACATGCCCAAAATATCTTAATTGTTGGAGATGGACTTTACTATAGAGTCGTTGGCTAACTTTTAGCTCTCTTAAAATTGAATTATTTGTTCTACGGTCGGTCCAAGGAATTCGTAACATTCGTCTCCAACAGAACATTTCAGTGGCGTCTATCTTTCTTCTCTCCGATTGTCTCAGAGTCCAAGATTCATATCCGTAGGTCAGTATTGGGAATATTAAGCAGTTGATCAACCTCATCTTTATCGCTCTTGAAATTTGACAGTCCTTCCATATTTTGGTCACTTTTGCTGTGGCAACTCTTGCTAGATCACATCTACGTTTAATCTCTTCTTGTAATGACCCTGTGTTTGTGATTAATGATCCCAGATATAAGTATGAGCTCACAACCTTGAACCGGTCAATTGTGGTTATGTGTGGATGATTGTTGTGTAGTCTATCCACTATCATGATCTTTGTCTTTGATATGTTTAATTGCAGACCAAATATTTGACTTTCGTTTTCGATCAGTCGTATAAGTTCTATCAGCTTTGCATGACTATTTGCAAGAACGGCTGTGTCATCTGCGAAACGTAGGTTGTTTAGTTTATGACCATTTATTGAGATGCCCTTTTCCCATGCTTTAAGTGCTCTTCGCATAATATACTCCCCATATATGTTGAATAAGTGTGGAGATAGTATACATCCTTGTCTGACACCCCGTTCTGGATGAAATTCGTTCGAAAGTGTGTCAAGTACTTTAACTGATCCAGTAGTGTGTTCATATAGTTCGGTTATAAGCGTAATTAGATGTTGTGGTACGCCTACTTCTTTTAGTATTCGCCATAAGTGTCTCCACTTGACCCTGTCGAACGCTTTACGGTAATCTATAAAGCAGATGTATAGTGGGATGTTGAATTCCCTAGATTTCTCTATTATCT